AAGTACTGACCTCCGTCCGCGTAACTCTCACAGCCGTATCCGTCCTGTAGTCCGGTGGTCCACGTGCCCTCGTACCTGGCGCCGGACGTGGTGCTCTGCCGGACGCCGTAGCGGCCCTTGAAGCCCTGCGTCCACTCGCCCCGGTACATCCATCGGCCCTTGTTCTCTACTCCCAGCCCGTGTCGCTTGCCCTGGAACCACTGGCCCTTGTAGGCGTTTCCGGAGGGCCAGGTGTACACGCCGGAGACCTCGAAGCCGTACTGCCAGGCCCCGGCGTACTCACCCTGACCCTTGGGGCCAGTGCAGACGCCATTGCCGTGCGCCTTGCCATCCTCCCAGCCGCCGCAATAGGTGCCGCCATCATCGAAATCAAAGCGCCCGCCGCCCGAGGTCATTTGTCCGGAAGGTCAGCAAGGAGCATGGTCCAGGGGAAGAAAAAGGAAGAATAGTTGGACTTGTGCCTTCGGGAATCGAAGACCAACGTTCGCGTCGATGTTTCACTTTTTGGTTGAGAGCTGCTAATCCTCAAAACGGAGTAGTATATCTATTTTAAGAGGTAATCCTTTCCGGGAAAGATTGAAACCAATGCTCCTACAGCATTTGAGACACACTAAAGGAAAAACAAATGTCAGTTGAATACTGAAGACTTTTTGTCAAGATGTTGAAATTGCAGCAATCTCTATTAAACGGCTGGTGGTGATAAATCCAAACTGCAAAGGCAAAAGATCCACTCACAGTTGACAGCGTGTGACGCAGTTGCTAATTGGCGAGCAGTAGATTCCACTGCAACTAGCAACGGTTTAGAGAAAGAAAAATTCGTGCGTAAAGGACGTGGCAGTGATCCGTCCGGGGGCTTATTTGTAGTCCTGGTGTTCTTGTCGTTACAATAGTAATCTTCCGAAATAGCAAGCGAACTGGCTTGACTGAGAAGAAGATTTTTCAGCTGTTTGGTGTGGAGTTAGAGTAAGCTGAGAACTCTTTGCCGCCTCTCTGGGGGTCGAAAAAATTGCAGTCACAGTCGTCGTCGTCGTCGTCGAAAGTTGGTGGCTTTCGGTGTGGGCACAATCAGATTGGTCCACTCTTATTGCTCGTCAGAGGGGCCTTGGGCATGGTGGTGTGTGCCTGGAGGAAAAAATAGAAAAAAAGAAGTTGTAGGTTATAGTTGTCAACATATTACTTTTTAGTTTTAGTCTTAGTAAGAGTTTTACTGTACTTGCAAAGCAATAAGGTCATATAAGTACCGAAGATTAGAGGTATTACAAGCGAGTAACAAACATAAAAAGGAGGAGAGATAGAGACGATAGATCTTTTATAGGAAAGAAGGAGGAAACCACACCAGAGCACCAGCCAACCACCCATCAACATATTACAGATATACACATACAGGGTATAATGATATACAGACATACACGTAGACAGTGCATACATTCACACACGACCAAACATGCAAACATATGAAGTACACATACATTCACGTATGCATCGATCCATCCATCCATTTATCCATCTATCCATCTCTCTCTCTCTCTCTCTCTCTCTCTCTCTCTCTCTCTCTCTCTCCACACACACACACACACACACACACACACACACACACACACACACACACACACACGAAGGCACACACACACTAACATTCATCCATCCATCCTTTCATAAAAACATCCAAACTCCCATCCTTCCACCCACCCACACCCACCTCTCTCTTACACACACACGAACACAAACACACATGCACATACTTATACACACAAACACAATCACACATACACTTACACACTCAAACACACACAAAGGCTCACGCCCACCCACACACACACACAAACACACACACACACACACCCACACACACACACACACATGCACACACACAAACACAAAGGCACACACACTCACACACACACACTCATTCTCTCTCTCTCTCTCTCACACACACAC